CGTGCCGAGGATTCGCTTGGTTAACGCTCATTTTGTTGTTATTCTCTTCGTTTGCTCTCTCTCTCTCTCTCTCTCTCTCGTTCTCTCTTTCTCTCAGTGTGTTTCTGCCTCTTTCTGTCCGTTTCTTTTTCTGGCTGCATTGCCTTCCCTCTTCATTAATTTTAATGGTTATAAAAATAATATAATGCCCTCGGATTGCATTCATCTGGGATCAAAGTTGAGGCATACTTGAGCCTGTGCTTCTGTACTTATCTTGCTTGCCTCGATTTGTGGAATGAACGAAAAACTCGCACTTGTAGATTCGATTTTACTTTTACCTACATATCTGGGTGGTGGCCCTAAAACTAATACGTTCCTAATTGTTAGAGATTTATGGACAACGAGATTTGATTTAGGCCATGAATATGTCCAATCAACCGTCGGAGAACGTACTCGAAAAGCCATACTCAGGCCATACTCAGCCATTGCCAGAAATAATAGTAAGATAAAATAAACAAACATTCACACATTTGTTTGTGCTCCATAATCGTTATCAAGATTATGGCTTCAATCTCTATTGGAATCTGTAAGTATCTTAAATCTGGATGTATTGAAATTGGCCCTTCTAAAGAGCCAATGAATGCATCCATAAAGTATACCCAAACATTTTGTGGTTTTAGCTTACCGTCTGCCAAATATTAAGCTTTCAAATGCAAAAATATAGATGCTTGTGCAGTAGTCACAGTCACAGGCTTTATGGATTTTCGGGAGAGTTTTAGCATTTTTCCATTTTGATTGAACTTAATTGGATGGAACACGTGCTTACCTGGGCAGCAAATTTGCACACAATGTAGTTCGATTAGCCTGGCCTGCTCTGCTCTGGCAAGTCTGTGCAAATTGTTTATGCAAACTATATGTAAGTGCAATCTATTAGCATTAATAACCCGTCGAGACAAATGACTCCAATTCCAATGGAATTACTTCACTACACACTGATAACGGTTGCGTAAGCGGAAAGGAATCGAAATCGCATTCTCGATTAATTAGCATGTCAATGCAGGGTTACGTAAAAGTAAGCAGCTGACCACTAACACCGTTCCAACACTCTCTGATTGATCAGTCAACTAGGCACCTCGATAGATAGTTTAAGCACGTTTATCACCAAGATACAATAAGGAATATGTCTAGATAAAAGCGCTATTGATTGTGGCTGTGCAAGCGAATGCATTTGGAGGGTTTTTTAAAGATTCTTGGATCATTTCCAGCCATAAAATGCTTTCGAATTTATGCCTTAGATTGTAGTTTAGTCTGTCAATAAAATTGATCATATTCTGCGTGGTTATCAGTGTTTCAAAGTCTCAGATTATTCGAGAGAAGCAATGCCCAATACCTTATAATTTACGTTTGAAACAGTTCTTAAGCTAATGGAAAAAGCCCAAAACTTTTCCATGCAAAAGATTAATTGTTGTAGTACGTAGTATATCTTTTTTCTTGTGGCGTTTCCAGAGATCTCTCGAATTTGTCACCAGGGAGAAGGTTTATCAACCCTTCAAATGGAGCTTAGAATACTGATACATGCGTTTGATAAATTTGTTTTTAATTACTAGTGTCGCAGGTATTCAGGCCGACAATAGAGTTTGTGTGGCAAATGCGATTTTCTATACAATGTCGCATTGAGGCGGCTTGACTGGCAGTTACATCAGCGACAGGGGCAGAAGTGGAAAGCAAACAGATAATAAATCATAACCGTTAAGTGTTTTCAATTACCCAATTTACCAATCGCGAATCGCAAAGCGGGGCACGTTCCAACTGTGGCAACAACAAAGGCGCAACAGCAACACTAATACTTAAATGCTATTTATCAGCAGAGCGGAGCAGGCCTGGCATGGTGTGGGGGGTGGTGCTGGTGCTGGTGCTGGTGCTGTTGCTGTTGCTGTTGGGGTTGGGCAGGGAGGCAGCACATGCCAAACGGGTGGCCGGATGGAGCAAAGCGACGCGAGGCGGCTTGGAAAGCTCTCTCGTAACCAGGCAGGCAGCAAAAGCAACAGAAACAAAAGCTGATAAGTCTGTTTTTGCAACGACAGCAAAAAGTCAAACGTCGTCTGCTTCCCCCTGCCCAACCCACTCTCGCTATCTCTCTCGCACAACTTCTCTCTCCGCCGACACTAGGGATTCTCCGGATTGATGGGGAGACGTGGGGTGTGGGTGTGTGCGCAGTAAAGTGCGACATTTTGCTGCTGATTAAGTAGCGTTCGTTTTTAATAAAAGTACGACAAGGCAAATAAAACAACAAGTTGGCCAAACGGCGATGGCAGCGTGACACGAGTGAGATACTCGTGAGTGCTTGACTTCAGTTTTGCTGCGAAAAATTACTGTAATTAAATATGTACATAAATCTGTTGGTATTAGAGTAAAATCAATAATATTTTAACGAGTTCTTTGAGTCTAGAATATTCAATTATTCAATTAGTTTTTTATTCCGTAAGTTAAGCCTCTAGATTGTCCATTAGCCCCTGAAGTTGGCTACCAAAATAAACGATATGCTAGTTTAATATTCAGTTATCCCCTTGGGATGCGATACTGACATGACAGCTCACCGTCACGCTCCCATCTCTGGGGCAGAAAACACACACTCTCTTACCGTTGGATGATATACACACGGCCACAAAGAGACAGGCAGTAGGCCCTGCCACCACCCACTGAAGCTCGGCGAGCGAGCTCACTCGGCAATCGTTTACTCGCCTTCGTCCTTGTGCACGTCCTCGTGCTGTCACAGCAATCGCCCTTGCAGAAGGTTACGCTGCTGGGACGCCGCTGGCACGTGTCCCGTGCCCCGTTATGTGGCTGCGGCTCTGCGGCTCTGCGGCTTTTGTGGGGGAGGAAGGCATGGACAACGACAACGGGGTTTTGGTTTTAGCGAGCTGCCATATGTTTCCGGCAAGTGTCCGCCCAACTCCTTCCACTTGGTGCTCCCTTCCATACACATACTTGGAGTGGCAGCTCCAGCTCCAGCTCCCCCTCCTGTGAGGCATGAAAAGCGTTGAAATCTGCAATGCCAACAACAAGTAGAAGAGGGGTGGCAAGGAACAAAGTCGAGGCTGTAACCTGATCCAACTTCCTTCGACTGGGGCGACACCTTCTGTCGCCACCGACGAGGCATCGCTCTGATTTATCTGTGCCCCAGCCACAGCCATATCCATAAAAGTATAGAGAGCACCGCATTGGCATTCGCCATTCGCCGCATTGCCATCCCATTTTGAAATATATTTTCTTGCACGGGGTGTTTCATTTTGATGATTTTTTTTATTGTTTTCGAAAATCTGCTATATTAACTTAGAGTGTTTGTGTGTGTGTGTGTGTGTGTGTGGATTACATTTCGAGTGTGGGTTAACAATATTTCATACAAGAGTGCGTACAATCAGAGCTATATTCTACATATTTATATATTAATAGGTTTTATATCATTTATTTAGGGTTTATTCCGATCAATCAAGCAGTGCGATCGGATGTCGGACCTTCAAATATACAACTACATATACATACATTCGTATATGCATCTCAATAATAGGAATACATAAATATACAACAATCGGGAATCGAGACAAAGTTTTGGAATATACTCGTACGTAAGTCTGTAGCTGCTGGATCCCGAGGCTTTTCAATTTGTTTGATTGCCTGGAAATTATGTTAATTTCGTTCAGATCACGAGGGCTGCTGCTGTGGATGCCGCAGGGTTGAAGTCGAGTGAAAATAGAGGGTAGCTCTTTATCTCTTTCTCTATGTGGTGGACACCATTCTACAATTACAGCTATTCCCGTAAGAAACTCACTGATGTGCATTCATATAGCTTCCTTCTATTCCTTCTTTTATTTATAATTTTTTTTCTTTGTGTAAAATATGTACATACGATACGTAATAACAAAAAACAAAATATCAGCTAAAAGCGGAAAGGGTTAGAGGGAAAGTATGGAAACCTAAAGCCTTTTTTCAAGTCTATGAATATCGTAAATGTAAGAGTATAATATCATATCTGCATAAAGTATAATAGCATAGTATTTTTATTTGGTCAAAGCTCTAAAAAAGGGGCCAAATTTATGTTCATTCGCCGTGTGGTGTGTTGTTTTTGTTTTCATTTTGCTTTGCCCGGGATTCATTTAATTTCATTGCGATGCGATTCGATTTAAATTTATGTACAAAGTTCGTGCTGCAATTAAACGTAACGCGCTTAAATAACTAATACCAAAAAAAGTATCTACAAGATATACGCGTATCTACATACATGCATGTATCGGTATGTGTGTGGGTCTGTTATTTGCATTATTCCGTTTTGTTGGTTTGATTTGCTTATATGAGTATTGTTTTGTTTTGCATTTTTATGCCTGACACGCTCGCCTCAAAGCGGCGCAAAATCGTTAAAATTTTATCGCCTCATTGAAGAACGTGGCTATGTATGTATGTATCTATGTATCGGGGTGTTTGTGTGTCCATCCCAGTACTTGTGTATATCTGTGTTTTCTCTTCATCTTCTTTATGGGTGTTCTGTAAGTGCTGTTCTGTCTACCCGGACAGCACATTTTTGACTCTACCACCACTACCAGCAGCACGACGAAAACCACAACTTCACACTTCGGAGCACATTCTCCACGCCGCACTGGTGGCAAGTCGCAAGTCTGCGGCAACACTTTCCATAATCAAATATTCTTGATGCGATTACACTTCCCCTAACATTCAGGCGCCCTATCGGGCATCGCAATACCATAATCCTATTTTAAAAAAAGTCTCTCTATCGCCTACTTCTACTGGGGCTTGGGGTTCTGATTCTGTTTGGACTTTCACCCAGAAAAGCAAAAAAAAAAAAAACGAAGATACATCAAAATCGTTGGTTACCCGTATGCGTATGCGACCTTATCTATGTTTTTGTTGATATTTTATAATTAATTCGTTGCTGTTTTGTGCTTCTGCCTAACCTTTTCTTTTTTGCTTGTCAGTGTGTATATTTGATTAATTATTTTTTGACGATATTTTTAACATTTTCTTCCCTGCCTACCTTGGAATATTTCATTTGTGGCATCCTAATACAATGGCAAAATATTTGCTTGGCTCTGAAAACGATTCGGTTTGGTCTCTAATCTACTCTATATTGCTTTCTATTGAGGATACTTCGGGTCGGTTTTAAGGCTTACGAATCTCGTCTATTTCAAGTTAACTGATTTCATACAAATTGCACTTTTCTCTTCGGGAGCAAGCACTGACAGGTGAGTTGTCGTTGTCTTCTCTCTTAGTTGCTGTTGTTGTTGTTGTTGTTGTTGTTGCTGTTGCTGTTGCTGCTATTTTGTAGGTTCTCCAACGGCGCCACAAGATACATTTGCGTTCCGCACAGCCACAGAAAAGCTGCCAGCGAAAAGAATCAGAGAATATGGAAGAAACCAGAATGAATGAAAATGTTGTTCTAGGCCTTTCTATGGGTGGAAATACAAAATGATGCAATGATGTTGTTCATTAAAAGGCCAACCGATAAACCAAAAGAACAAAACGAAACATAGGAAGTAGAAGGAGAAGAAGGCTAGGAAATATCTAAATACCCTACAGAACCATTGATGCTCCGGCAGCTCAGTAATCCGATAACTGAAGCGAGTTATCAATTAGTTGGTATGGATTTAAGAATACAATTTGAAAGGGTTTGGTTTGATTTTCTTTTCGTTTTCAATTAGCCACAAAGTGAGGAACTTCATTTAGGAACTTTTTGCAGCAGAATGAAGGGTATGTGATTGTTGTATCGAAAATACCTTACGGGGTCAAACATCTAACAAAAATTATAAATACTCAGCGGTCGGAAGGGTACGAAAACAAAACTCAAATTCTTCTAACGGCGAAAATAAAAGCAGACTAGAGTTCGGTATGAATGACCGACCACGACCGTTGCCGAATGACGAGCGAGAGAGTCGAGTCAGAGTGCGCGAGAGAGAGAGAGAGAGAGAGAGAGGAGGAAGAAGTACGTTCGCGAGAGGTACAGACTAGGAGAGAGAGGGAGAGAGCAAGCAGAAGAAGACACATTATTTGTGTATAATGACTACTTGAGAAACGTAAAAGTAGAAACGAAAAGCAACAGCAGCAGGTGAAGAGGTGTGCTGAGGTGTGATGGAAGAAGAGGCCGGAAAAATGGGAAGAGAGAAAACACAAAACACGAAACGTAATTTGTATAATTTGAGTCTCTCTATTCCGTTCCATTAAGTGTGGGAAATGCGCCAAAACGTTCCACTCATAAGGGAAATAGAAAAAAGTTCGCTTCAAGTTGGTTCTTCCTTCAGAGTTGAAGAAAGAATCGTCCAAAAGTCATTGCTGAAGGAATCAGAACCAGAACCATAACCAGAATTTTGTAACAACAATACGGGGCTTGAGAGCAGAAACTAATGGAATCAAATCAGATTGCCTCATCGAAAGATGGACGAGAATTAAATTAGGGCTCCGAAATAAATTATAAAAGATATGTAGACAGGAGATGCAAAATCAAGGACATTTTCCAGCAAGAGATTAGAAACAAAACGGGCAAACAACAACTGAGCTTGCGAGGAAATTCAGAACTTGAAATAGACAAACATCAAATATGGAAGTCGATTAAGGGATAGCAATTCACTATACTAGAACGCTTGCCCTTTGAGAGCAAAGAAAGTGGAATTGAATTAATCCGAATAGAAAAGAAAGAGACAAATCTGTTCGCTGTTTCAACCAATATTGCTGATCAAAATAATTGGGAATATTAAATCGAAAATGTGATATAAAGAACAAAATCCTAAAAATTAATGGAGTATTTATTCGCCATTCTCCAATTAAGAGACTATCACAAAATGCCTCGATCGGAGGAGAAGAGAAAAAGTGAATCAAGGGCAATAAATAATGAACTCTACTTTGGATTGAACATCATTAGTTAGTACTAACTAAATGCAATTAAAAGTTCTTCAGGTTTGTGGCACTCACCTTGTGACTAAGCGGAACTCGCCACCGGAGCCAGAGTGTCGGTGGCGGCGATCTGTACGGGTGGCTTGGGCAGGGCCTCGGACTGGCTCACGATGCCCGCCGCTGCGGGTATGGACAGGAGAGTGCTGGCCGCCGAGACGGTGATTGCTGTCTCCTTGGTCGACTCTGACTTTGTGCCGATTGCGACTGGATCGGGTTGGGCTGTCGCTGTGGCTGTGGCTGTGGCTGTGGCTGTAATTGTGACTGCCGCTGTCGTCTTGGCCAGCTCCGGGGACTTGGCGGAGCTGGTGGTGAGCACCAGGGGAGCCTCCTCGGCCAGGGCAGCGGCTTTGGCCTCGGCACGAATATTCAAATTGGCCGCCACTTGATCGATCGTCGTCGGTTTCTTGGTCAGGGCACGCGGCGAGGTGGCTGCTGCACTGCATCCAGAGCTGCTGTGGCTGCTGCCATTGCTGCCGGTGGGACTGAGCTGGCCCGGCGCGGTGGTTGACATCTTCGGCTTTTCCTCGGCCTTCACCGTCAGCGGTTTCGTGATTGCACTGGCCATAGATACTGCTGGTGATGCTGCTGCTGCTGCTGGAAGCGTTGTCTGATTGCGAAAGGCCAGTGCGGATGGATTGGGTATGCTCCGCACTGAGGCATTCTGTGGCCGCACCACTGCATTCCCATTCTTTGGCTTGTTCTCGAAGATGTTGCTGCCGCCCGACTTTATCGAGATCTTCTCGCGCGCCGTCGCCGATTCGGAGAGCAAATGCAGATTCTGTAGATCATCGCCAGTGCCAGTGCCAGTGCCAGTGGCCGTGGCTGTGGCGGTGCCACTGCTGCTGCTGCTGCTGCTGCTGCTTGGAGTGCTTGTGGGACTGGTGGTGGTGCCATTTGCCGCTGTTGTTGTTGTCGCTGCCGCCCCAGAGGTTAATCCTCCTCCATTGCCATTGCTGTTGCTGTTGGCGGATATGTTCTGTTTGATTTTGTTTAAGGCTGCCTCCAGGCTGTTGCTGCTGCTGCTGCTGCTGCTGCTGCTTGTGGTGCTGCCCGCAGGCGGTAATGTGGATGTGGGCGCCCTGCTTGTCCCAGTCAATTTGGTGCTGCTGTTGTTGTTGCTGTTGCGGCCAGGGTTCGCTGATAAATCAAGTATGTCGGCATCCTTGGCTGCTGCTGCTGCTGCTGCTGTTGGGGCCGTTTTAGCTGTAGTTGTGGCTGCTGCTGCCGCTGGCAATGCTGTGCCAAACGGCGGTCGAAATTCGCGCAAACCAGTTTTCGATGGATCCAATGCAGTCGTGCCATTGGTTTTGCTTTGACTGCCGCTGCCGCTGCTGCTGCTGCTGCTGCTGCCCATTGAACCACCTCCGATGCAGCCAGCTCCAGTTCCCGCTGCAGCTGCTGGCGGGGATTTCTTTGAATTGGCGTCTGCCTTTGCGCTTGACTTTGATGGAAACGGGAGTGGATCGGTGTTGCGCAGATTTATTAATGCAGGCGGAGATGCGCGATAAGCCGCATTGTTGTTGCTCTTGCTGTTGTTGCTCTTGTGGTTGTGGTTGTGGTTGTTGTAGTTGTGGCTGCCACGTTGCCCACTCAGTGCGACGGCCAGCGGCGGCGACTTGACAATCGCCGGAATCGGCATCGGCATCGGCATGGGCATGGGCATGGGCATTGGCGGCGACTGGACAGCAGCTCTCTTCGCCTGTCCCCTGGCCTGGCTCTGAGCCTGATTCTGATGCTGGTGCTGGTGCTGGTTCTGCTGCTTGGGCAGTGCCGCCGGTGGTCCCATTATGCGACCGCCAGTCATCATCGCGGGCGGCTGTCTGGGCATCGCACCCGCCGCCGGCTTGCTCGGCACCAGGCGCACAAACTCCACAGCGGGCATGTGGCTGGCTGGCTCTGGGAAGGAGTAGGCCATTTGTTGGCTGGGACGACCACGGGGCGTGATGGTCAGCGAGCCACTGCTGATGGTGGGGCTGGGCAGCGCCTGCTGCTGCTTGGCCATCTCCGGGCCGTACAGACGCGTCTGTGGATTGGGCAGGTAGGAGGCGGAGGCCACCTTCGGTCCGTTTCCATTGGCGTGCATCTGGAAGCGAGCCGCGTAGCTGGGCATAGCCTGCACTTGATGGAGGCGCGCCTGTTTGGCCAGGGACTCGTCCACGGAGACGGAGCGCTTCGGCTGCTTGTTGGCCGAACTGGCGATGGAGCTGGGTGTGGAGAGGTAGCGCTGCATGTGGTACATGTTGCGATTTGCGTGCGTCGGTGGCTGGGGCACCACAAAGTGTCCGCCAGGCGACACCGACTGGGCCTGTTTCCGGTTGTTGTTGTTGTTGTTGTTGTTGTTGTTGCTGTTGCTGTTGTTATTGTTGTTGTTGGTGTGTGGAGGCTTTGTGCCAGCCTTTGCTGGTTGCTGCTGCTGCTGCTGCTGCTGTTGCTTGGGCTTAGCCGCAGAAATCGTCGTGGATGGCATCGCGACTGGAGCGGAGGCTGGGGTAAATGCCTTGAAGAGGCTCGGCGGCAGCGGGGGCGATGCCGGCAACGCCAGCTCCTTGGCCACCAGCGCCATTTTGGACGCTTCCGTTTCGGTTGTGGGCGTGGGGGGCGGCGTGGGAGCGCCGGTCATCAGACTGCTGATGCTGCGCGACTCCTCGCTGAGCGTCCGGTTGAGCGCCTCGCTGGTGGCATCTCTCGTCTCCTCCAGCTTCAGGTGGGAGAGGGAGACGGAGGCGGAGGCGGAGACGGAGGATCCCAGGCCCAGTTCGCCGCCAGCCAGGGAGTGTGATCGTTTCAGGTCCAGCTTGTGCTTGTGGTTGGTGGTGGGATTGGAAGTGATCTTCACCTTCATCTTGCCATCGGTCTGCGAGGAGATCTCCGCGTGCAGCTTCTTTCGCTTTCCATTCGCGTCCTTCGGCTCCTTGGAGTGCTTCTTCTTGCGCTTGCGATGGGAGCTGGACCCAGAACCTGCGTTGGGAATGGAGCTGTTGCCATCTGCTGTGCCCAAGACATTGGAACCCGACCCAGAGCCGTTGGTGGATGTGGAGCAAGAGGACATTGGCGAGGCGTTCGGACTGTATTTCGTGTCCGCTGCAGCCACCGAAGGTGTGGAGTGGGCGGGTTCGATGGGCTTGAGTCCAATGTTCTTGGCGTAGGTCTCCAGATCGAGCTGCTGCACGGAGCAGGAGGTGTCCTCCAGGCGGGGCTCCGCGGACATCGGCATGGACAGCTTGCTTCTCATGCTGTTCAGCTCGATCTTCAGCTTCGGCAGGTTGCCCTTCTTGTTGGCCGTCTTCAGCTCAAAGTCCGCATCGTCGACGTAGCGACTGACCTGGGAGGGCGGAATGCTCACCACGATGTTCATGTGGGGCGGCAGTGCGGACTCTCGGGGCTGATCGGCCGCATCCGCATCCGGTTCTGCTTCGGGTTCGCTCTTTACCCGCGCCACGGCATAGTCGCTGTAGCGCATGTCGTTGCTGCGGAGACTCTTGAAGCTGCTCACCGAACTGGAGCTGGAGCTGTCCTCCAGCTCGCGCTTGGCCGTCGCCAGGCGCTTGGCCTTCGGTGGCGGTGGCGGTGGCGGTGACACTTTCGCGGATTTGTTGCGTCCCTTGGCGCGCGGCGAGTCCATCTCCACCTCGATGTCCTCGGCGAAAGTCACCGACTTGGCGCTCTTGGAGCGGCGCACCTTCCGGGCATTGTCCAGCTCCTGGTTATTAATCCTCGACAGAGTGTTCTCGTCGTTTTTTGCTCGCTCGCTCTCGTACACCATAATCCGGTAGCAGAAGGCCATCGGGGCATGCTGCAAGGGGTGGACAGTGGATGGAGGGTGGATGGTCAGTGACAGGGGATGGAAAGTGGACATTGAACGTTAATCTGGTGGCACAATTGGATTCGATACCCCGCCCCTTGCCCACTTTCGAATTTTCCGGTAATTGGAAAAGCCACAAAAGGCGACAATAGACACAACACAACACAACGCCCGCTCCATAGTCCCTCCCAGAGAGTAGCTGCGGATTGCGAAACTTACCCCAGTCCACTTGTAGCAATAGCCCACGTCCATCAGTGTGAATCTGGAGGGCAGCACCTCGTCCTCGTAGGTCACCTCCACCTCGACCAGCTTGTTCTCCGCATCGATGTTGTACTTGGAGCAGAGGAAGCGTCGCAGCAGCTCCACCTTCAGCCCGGCGGGGCACTGCAGGTAGATAACCGGCGGCACCTCGCTCGCCCCCGTGCACTTATCCAGCATCGCTGGATGGTACTCCAGGGAGAGGCTGCACACGAAACGGTAAGCGAAAATGGATGGCATTAAAACCTGCCATTGGACCCATGGATTGCCCTTATATTCAATCTCACCTCACAAGATCCGCCGATGTGAAGAACTCCGGCTCGGGCAACGCCTGCTGGTCGTCCCCATCGAACAGTTCCCGATGCTGCTCCCTGAAGTCTGCCAGCTGATCGCACTCCCTTCGATACAGACCGGGCACCAGCTTGTAGATCAGCGATCGCAGAATGTCGTCCGATCTGCGATGGATTAGATTAGATGGGAATCGTTTGAACAGTGGATTCGTGCCACTTGCTGGGCCATTCAAAGTTGTACCATGGGTGGAGGGAATATTTGTATGGACCTACCTGAGGTTGATCTCGCTGACCTCCTTGCCGCCGCTGGACTTGCACTGCGGGCAGTAGGCAACGCGCAGCAGATGCTTCAATATGCAACTGCGGCAATCTGGGAACAAGGCACATGGGAAGGAAAAATGTTTCAAATGCGGATCCTGGCTAAAAGGACAACACTCCGAGAAGGGAGAAGGGAAGGGAAGTCGACTTACATGTGTGATAGCAATGGTCCACTGTGGTGGGATCGATCATGTAGCCATGGCAGAGGCCGCATGTTATCAAGCCATGAAACTGCCGCACGTCGCAATGTGTGGCAGCAGTTGCCGAGGAACTGGAAGCAGTTGAGATTGTGGAATCCATAGCCGTTTTGTGCGTGGTTTGGAGATGCATTCTCCTGCCGGAATTGTATGTTTTAGTTAGCCTCTTTGTGGAGAACACTCAAGCGGCAAGCATGTCCTGCAATAAAGGAACCAATTCCGATTAAGAGAGAGTGTGCCAACCAAGTTATGGCTAATAAACTGATGGTCCACGCTCGTGCACCCCACTAATGATGGCCAAAACGAGCGAGCCTCGACCCCACAACTGGCACCACAGACAAGTGATGGAGAGTGAGAGGGGGATAGAAGGGGCAATGGGGAATGGTGAATGGGGAAACCCATAACTGTGAGAAACACAAGATTGAGCAAAGTCCCATCATCACATCACCATTCGCCCATCATCGTCGTCAACATCTTTGTGGTTGTCGCTCGTCAACGGCAGCGACAAAGCCACAGAGAGCGAGAGAGATATGTACATTCATCCATCAACTATGTATCTGTATCTGTATCTGGCCTTAAAGATAAAGCAACGTCAGCAGCACACACACAGAAAACTAGACACAAAACGGAAAACTTTAGACTAGTAAGGCAGCCATCCATATCCATGAATCGGAACAATGATGAAAACAAAAATATGGATACAACAACAACAACAAAAAAGAGTACAAAAGTAGCAACTCTATAAGGTTTGAACATGTGGGGCGGGGAGGGGCAGGGTCTGTAGTCTTTCGGGCGCACAAGCGACGCCCTTCGTGCCACAGAGGGCACCTACCGAGAGCGAGAGAAACACACACACACTCACACAGCTACAGCTACAGCTACAGCGACTGAGACAGAGGCAGAGACACAGAAAACGATGTGCACTCGACGGTGTACTTGAAGCTAGTTTTAGCATGCCTCCCTCTCCGCCCCCTGAGCCCTAGTGGGCCCCACCACCTCTCCTGGCTCCGGCACTGGATGTTGCCGTGCAAACGAATAAAACTACGAAAATTACGCTTTTGTGCCCCACACAAGCAAGTCAGTCCGTCAGTCAAAGGCAGGGCAGAGTAACAGAATTTCCATCATTATTGCAATGACTTCTACGATGATGACGATGATTATGATGATGATGCCAGGAAGGCGGAAAGGTGATGGCCGGCCAAAGTTCAGCAGGTTGTTGGTCGTACAGATACTGCTACAGAGAGATTGTTGGCGAACCCACAGGATTTCCAGCTGCTTTCCAGATCTGTCTATAATGGTATAGTTGTATATCATTAGAGGTTATTTAAATGTCTATTAGCTATCCATTTTCCTACCCTTAACCATCAATATAAACAAAGAAAGCTTGCTTAAAGCTTCAAGTGTGTCTTTTTATCTTGAAAGTATCTCCAAGATCATATTTCAAATAGGCCAAATCTTCCAATCAGATCTAAAATTGATACTAAATGCACATCCAATCAAGTTTCAAGTGAGGTTGAAACCTTCTATAATATGTTTTCCCCCATATATTCCCTTTTGCTGAAGATCCGCACAATAATATTCCCATTTTTCCACCCAGTCTCTAGGCTGAGATTCTGCCAACCCAAAGGGCAGCTAGTAGTCGCAACAGCTTCATCCATTTTTTGTCTCCATTGCCACTTTCCTTCCCCCTCGCCTCTTGCCAGTTTCTAGTTGCTGCCCTCACGCGAAACTGGCACGAAAGCTTCGGCTTTTGTGAAGGGAAGACCGAAATAGTTGTGTTGCAGTTGTCAGCAGGCAAAACGACAGTAGAGAAGCAACGGAGGAGATGAGGAATAGTAAGAATGGGAGTACGAAGAGAAGAGCAGAGCAGAGCAAGGGAGGCTGAGCTAGCAAAACAAAAACCCAAACAAAAACAAAAGCTTAAGAAACTGGAAGTAAGAAAGAGGCTAAAAAGTGGGCGCAAAGAGGTGGCAATGGAATATTAAGAAGATGGGGATGCTGCTGCTGCTGCTGCTGCTGCTGCCGTGTCTTTTGATTACAAAGTGGGGGCGTGCGCCCACACGCCCATGGGCCCGCCCACTCAGCTGGGCAATGGTGTGAGAGGGCACATGCATGTGTATAAGTGCTCGTTAAAATGCCACCCATTGTTGGCCGATGATTTGATGACATTTCGTATTGATGACGTCGTCAGTGTGACGTTTTTGTCCACGCTTTTTGTTTATACGCCGCAATTTCGTAAAAGGCGCGCACTACCCTACTCATGGATACACACACACACACATACAGTGACAGTGACGAAATGGTCACAGCTTGAAAGAAACGTCAGCAGAGGCAGCGACAGCGACAGCGACACCGACAGCGACAGCGGCAACAATAATAACAAAAGTTACAAGCGCCGGTACGACACACGACACCCACCGACCCGCCCGCAGGGTGGTGGTTGCTACTGCCACAGCCACTGCCACTCACACACACACACACACATACACGCTCGTAGATGTGGAGCAACCATACGCAACAAGCTCTTGCCCGAATGTTGGAAAACGAAGACGACGAGGTACCGAGACCGACAAGCGAACGAAACTCACTCAGCAAAAGGTAAAATAAAGCACGTCAAACAAATTTCATATGGAAACGGCAGCTCTGCTGCCTTGTATAGCTTTTCTTGGGGCACGAAGACAAACTAAAAGCATTGCACGACGAAATTCAAATGCTACGTGCGGTACACACTAAATCGCGGTTTCAGATTCATTCGCTTCGCTCTCGTACTCTCGTACTCGCCACAATTACGAACGGTGCCGAAAGAGCGCACGCGGCGAAAAACGCGACATCAACATGTGCGTGTATTTGTATTTGGGATTGAGACGACACAAATTTGTAGATACATTCGCCGCGGCGAGCGTGCTCTGTCAGCGAGTTCCGAGTGGGAGTGGATGGGAGAGAGAGAGAGACCAGGCGGCAAACTTTCTACTTTTGCGCGCGCGCATTTTCGCCGCACTCTAGCCGATTTTACGAACCGCTTTTCGCCGCACGACGAAATTCCCATACGACACTCACACACATACACACACGTGTACACTGGTCACGTGTACGTGTGTTTACAAAATGTTCACCACTACACTGACACAACAGTTTTTCGGCGTAAAGTGAAATTTTCACATTAGAAATGGGTTTCGTCGTTGTTGTTATTTTACCCATTTCCACTTGGCTTACTTTTCCGCCCGTACTGAGGGAAACTGCGACGCAAATTGAGAATTGAGAATCCTCACGGTCTAGAGGAGAGTTTTCCCGGCCGACTGTCGAATCAGTTTTTACGCGCTTTTCAAATCGATTTACACTAAATGGAAATCCGTATTCACACACACACACACACACACTCACACAATGAAGCACACACCCAACAAACAGCGGCATCAACAGAGCTGCTGCTGCTTCTTCTTTCACTTCAGCTGCTGCTGGCTCTTATCGATTTCTCATACACACGCTCTTTTTCCAACCCAACCATCCTCAGACAGAGATTTTACTGCTCGCTCTCCATACCTCTCCGTCCGTCTCGCTCTATCACTTCTCGCTGTGAAACGCGCAGTATTCTACCGTATTTCTCGACCAGAGTGCACACGCCACGAAAAGTCTGAAAAGACTGATAGACCTGCTGGCGCTTTGAACCGTTTCGGGCCAGCTTTTCGTTCGCCGCTCCACGAGACGATATTCAGCGCAAACTCAGAGAGAGCGACCAGAGCGAGATGGATCGATGCGCATTCGTTGCTGTCCTTGTCGGTGCTGCTGCTCGATTGGCTGCCCGAACACTTCGTCGCTCGCGAGTGGGTGTGTGTATCTGTGTGTGGTGCGAGAGAAGAACTTGATTTTTTGGGGTGCTCCGTTCGTTCCCGATTGATTCCGCGAGAGTGTGTGTGTGGGTGGTGTTTTTAATTGAATTCGACGACTCCCGTCAAATGAGAGATTAACGCGCGTTGGGGCCTCTAAGGCCTTGACGTTTATAATTAACGCAAAATTTCTCGTTTGGCTGTTGCTTCATCTTTTTTTTCGCTCGTTTTGGCCATGTCCCCATATCGCAGCACAGCCGTTGGGCATTTCATTTTGTTAAATCTGTTGAACCTGTTTTGGCTACAGCCCAGTCACAGTCGCAGTTTCAGTCCCTGCCCATGTCCACAGCCATATCATATGCAAAGTGCGTTGTATCTGTGGCTGACATCATTCGCCTGCTGAAACTGATGCCACTCGATGTTAACTTCACTTGACAGTCGCCGCAGGGGGAAAAAGTGTTTTTTGCAGCACACACAGAAAAACAACTGTTTTACTCGATCTGAAATTTGCATTACAAAGGATTATTGCAAATTGAGGGACAGCAGCAAAATGTCCTTGGATAATTTCCAGCACGTACCACAGAAGCGTTTCACGGTCGCTTTGCCCGCCTTTGCCCAGCTCCTGTTCAACTGGAAGGCATCTCACGTTTGATCAACTGACAGAGATAAATGATGAGAGATTCTTATTTCCATGTCGGTCATGTCCTCAAGTCCTTTGCCGCTGTAGCTGCCATGGCGGGCAAGTCCATCCCACTTGCAACTGAGACGAATGGTTCTGCTTAGCTCAAGTAACTTTAAACTGACTTCGTGATGGTACCTGAAGATATTTCGAGTTACTACGAAAGCTTAAAATGTGCAATGTACATGTATATTAGCTACTTGCTGCCTTTCACATTCTCATTCTGTTCATTTTAATGAAAGTCGCGAAAGAACATTGGTTTGGCTTCAAATTAGTTTATTTTCTCAGTCTTCAGCCTAAGTTTCAGTCTTCTACAACAACCTTTCATTTCTGGGCATTTCTGGGACCCGGAAGGCTATGATCGAATTCAAAATATTCAAAAATATGACAAAATGCTGATCCGATGTGTTCCCGTGTCCACAGTAGATGCAAATGCGGGCAGGGCCAATCATTTTGTAATTTGAGAAGCTCAGTAATTGAGCAGTCGTCAGCTTTGTCACAAAAGTATACAATTCTTACCGCATTTATTCATTAAAAGCGTTTGCCTTTTTGTCTTCAGTTGATTTCATAAGTAACCTTGGCCTGAAAAATGTCCACCAATTTACAAAAACTTTGGTACACTAGAAACGATCACAGGTTTTTTGGAAACTACAACTCGAGGAAGCCCATCCTTGCAAATAAACTTAGAGCTAAGAACATTCCAACTAATGGCTTCTGTTTTCTATATATTATGTATATTGAAAGTGTACAAACGAGCAGAGGTTACCATATGGTATTATCTTTTACATAATATAGCTTTACCTCCTAAATATAAACACGAAACGAGATTTAACGTTACAACAAACGACAACAGAGTAAAACAAGGATCATGTTTAAGTGTTTATAATAAGCACGATAACTTCTATACCCCCAATTTTTTGTAGTATGCACAATATCAAGCAATACACTATTTTTTTTGACTATGCCTTATTTTCTACCACGAGTGCATCTATTGAATGTTCACATTCCCGCGCACATTCACATTCGAATGCGGATGACTGGTAGAATGGCTGCATCGACCACTGTGAAACGGTGCAATATTTCCGAAAGTAATTAAGAATTCTGCCCCAATAAAGAGTCCACTAGATGCCCCTGTGCTTAAATTGCACCTCCAAACACACACACACACTCACTTAGAGACAGATGCATGGCTATGCTATGTTTGTGAATCATTTTGACTCCTCTGGCAAAATGAATAATTAATGTAGCTGTAACTGTTTTGCGGTTCTGTCGGTTAGGTTGCAGATACTCGCAAACACAAGGATGTTATGTTAGGTGTGTGGGTGAACGGGTACTTGGGAGTGGGATGGCTGAATGGCTCTAATTGCATTCTCTCTTCTCTCGTGTCCTGTCGATTCTATCGGTGGTATGCCGGATTGAAGAGTTTGGGGAATTCACTGACTTTCAAGGGAATCAGCATTCAATTTTGTTGCAAAATGAATTTGCGTCATGTTTCAATTAAGTGGAGATGTAGGTTGGTTGCGGTAAAACTGTCTTCAACCGATTCTGAAATTTTCTGTCTGTCATAGGGAGTTGTCCATGCAAGTGAGCTATGTACATACATACACACATTTGTATGTACAATGTGCATATTTCGAACAGGTCCTTGGGTCAGGTGTTAATTAAGTCTGCATTGGCAGTAACATTTTCGTATCCTACTTCTGTGTACAAAAAGGCTAAGCTTTTTTCCGGTTACAATATAGATTGCAAATTCTTGTCGTTGACTGTTTTCCGAAGGGAGATATTATTGAACAAACGAGAGATGTCTGTCAAAGGGAAATCGTTTATAATGATTTTGACACAAAAGTGTATTTTTTTAAGGAAAGTCTCCGTACTTTCATAAAAAAGTTAGCTGTATGTATGTTTCCGCTAAGGGGAGATGTTTAATGTACCTTAGATTTGTTGTGTATGAACCCTGGAAATTCATCGTTATTTCATCGTACATTTGTATCTTCAAATATAGTACCACTTATTCACGTGCATATGAATGTGGATTTTTAGATACATTTGTATATATGTATGTACATAAATATGTACATATGCATATGATATAACCATAGAACTTACATACGAAATTTTCCATTCACTGTATGGTTGCCGCTTTTTGCGGTGAACGCCCCGCAATAGCTCCTCAGCCTAACCCAAAAAGCCATTATTCTGCAGAAAAATAATTTTGACAGGTGCACTTATTACGGTGCTTTCCAGCAATTAAACTGTGCGCCCGCCCACTTCCACTTCTTGGGCCACCACCCCTAGCCACCACATACCCGCGATTAGTAGAAAATGTACGCTCAACGTGACAGTTATCAGAAAAGGGAGAAGCACAGCATAATTTATTAACCAGATTGTTGGTGGGTGGGAGCGAGAGAGCAACGGAGTGGCGGCAGCGAAAAAATACGACGACCTTTTATTTCAGGGTACAAACAGATGAAAGATTTGCATTGGGATTGGGATTGCTGCTGCTAAAGAAATCTGTGCGGCGCAATGAAATATCATTTCATATTAACCCTCGAAAAAATGCGATACTGTGTGTGTGTGTTTGTCCGTAATGAGTACTTGCGGTACACGGATAATGCGGGGTATTTCAACGCGTGGATACCGAAAGCAAAGCAAAGCAACGACGAAAACACCAAACGAACGTTGCCCGCCACTCTCTCAGACCCCTCTCTCTATCTATTCGACGCACATACACACTCAAACACAAGTATGCTTGTGTTTGCTTTTGTTGCCTTTGCTTCTCTCGTTCATCGTTCCATTTACGGCGCAAGCAAACAAGCATGCCGAGGCACCCCGGTGACCAATTCGCTGGCGACGGTACACTTATTCTGTACGCATGACATATTGAGGTTTTCTTCTATTTGCATGGTTTACATATTTTGCTAATAACCAAATTAGCTAAAGCCTAAAATGTCTGTGGGTACAGTACCTTAAACATAATCTCATATCTTTCTTAGTTTTCAAACATTTTCTGCTACTGCTCTCTTTCAAATTCTCAACTGGGTCTGTTCTGTTTCCTCTTTCTGTTGACTATCGCTAGAGAGTGTGAGAGAGAGAGAATGCGGGTGTGTGTGTGGCTGTCGGCATTGCCAGCCGCAGTCAGCGTCGATGCCGACGTTTCTGCCGCAGCTTGACGTTGATGTCGAGCGCAAACATGGCGTTGCTTTTGCTCTTGCATTTTTTGTCCATGCCAGAGAAAC